TACAGATACATCAATAGAAGGTTTTCTTGGAAAACATGGATGATATGTTGTATTGGGCTCTTCGCTCTCTCTTGTCATTTTTATCACATTCTACAGCCACTTATCATTTATGTACAGACATAGAGAAAAATAAATAGAATCTGGTAGATCACACGTAATATATATATATACCATAAATATATAATAATGTACAATACATATTTTCACAATAATGCGAACAAGAAACGGTAACAGAGCTACCAAGAGTGTGTGTAGAGTGTAGATTTCACGTGTAATATGAGACAGGTGTATTTCTTCCTGTGGAATAATGTACAGCAGAGATAGAAGAATTGTGGATGCCACTTAAACCATCCTACACAATGCCATTCTCTTAGGTTCCTGTTATATCTTATGAGAACGACTGCCGGTGTTCACGCCACAGTGCCTTGTCATTCTCGTTTAAGCTTTGGTTAACTGCTTTGCTTTTTTCGCTCCGGGAGTCGAACAGAAAGCGTTGATTTGCAACACAAAGGGACATTCTGGAGACAAATATGCAAAATGTGATTATCACGTTGTCTCGGAGGATAACAGGTGGCAGGGCTCGCCGCTGCTTGTTCTATTATGTTACGTTATGTCATCAGAGAGACTGAAGGTCGAGATGTGGAAATGCTTTGACGTATCGAGTCCACACCGAAGCCTTTACTTATATCATCTGCGATTTATTAAGGAGACTAGTATATCTATATATTTCCACAAGTACATACAGTATTTCATAAATGAGGGGGGCGTTCATAAATGAACGCCGTTTCTTTACAGTATAAAGGAATTTACTGGGTTTGTCACCTAGCTGGGTTTCCTACACACGCAGTGCTGTCCACTACAAAGGCATTATGATTCGTATTTCACAATTATGTACATATCAACTACATATACAGAATTTTACACAACTATATACATTTGAAGGATTTGGCTCCTCCCAACCAGGTTGAATGTTATGTAGAATTTACATTAGATTACAACCCTATTGAAACCCTCTAACACAACCTCTAAAAGGAAATCTTCGGCACTAAAGGTCGTCCTAAATACGTCACTGAAGACCTTTTGACGTCTGTCTGCATCTCCTTACACATGTACCATTTCCCTCTAAGGTCCAGCTGCAGCGACCACTCTATCTTGCCACTTATATGTCCATATTTGCATCTCAATATACGAAAGTAAGGGTAGCATGTTTCAGCATTTTTTCTTCTTTTCTTTTCTTTCTTTTTTTTTTACATGGCTCGTGTTTTTCTTATCACGTCAGGTTTGCCTTCTAGAGGAATACACTGGCACGCGGGCGTCGCTTCGTCGCCGCCGTGAATGGGATTACGGTCAACCTTCTACAACCATTTTTCATGAACTGATTCGGCTGCAAGAAAAACCGCGTTAAAATTCTAAGGCAAGAATATTATCCTTTTCTTCAGAATTACTTTGAAGCAACACTCGTTCCGGAGAGCGTTCTGCCCCGGCCGCTACGGACGCAGCCCAGGGTGAGGAAGCCTTTCCTCCGGGCCGGCCGACGTTACTGGCGAGGGCATTAGGGTGCCTTGTGCTCATAATGCAGTTTAATCGACGTAGTCCAGCGTGTAGCCGAGGTTCTTGCGCTGCAGGAACATGAGGACCTCCCAGAAGGGCGGCCGCTGGCGGGGGTTGGGCCTCCAGCAGGCGGCCATCATGTCGTACATCTCGCGCGGGCAGAGCGGCGGCTGCGGCAGCAGCATCATGCCGGAGCCGTCGCCATGGTAACAGTGGGACACGTTCTCCAGGACGCCGTCGTCGCTGAGCTCGTCGAAGGGCTGCTGCCGCGCCATCGTCAGGATCTCCCAGAGCGTCACGCCGAAGGCCCACACGTCGCTCTTGGTGGAGAAGCGCCCCTGCAGGATGGCCTCCCACGCCATCCAGCGGATGGGCAGCAGCGCGCGCGAGTCGCTCAGACGGTAGTAGTCGCTGGAGTAGAGCGGCCGACTCATGCCGAAGTCCGAGATCTTGACGCAGAGGCCGCCGCCCACCAGGCAGTTGCGCGTCGCCAGGTCGCGGTGCACGAAGTTCAGGCTCTCTAGGTGCTTCATGCCCGAGGCGACCTGGGAGGCGATGTAGACGAGGGCGCCGTAGCTGAGGACTCGGGGCTCCATGTGGCTGCGAGCCGTGGGCGTGGGCGCCGCGATCCCCTCGGCGACGTGCCTGCGCAGGAACTGGTACAGGTCGCCGTAGTCCATGTACTCGAGCAGCATGCACAGCGGCTCCGAGCTGCTGACGATCCCCAGCAGCCGGACGATGTTCGGGTCGTCGATCCGGCTAAGGATCCTGGACTCCTGCCGGAAGTCCTCCTTCGTCTCCTCGCTCGCTCCGGGCTTCAGGCATTTGACCGCGACCTTCCTCGACCCCAGGCCGGGGGGGCACTTGACCTCGCACAGCTGCACGACACCGAAAACTCCTTCGCCGAGCGTCTCCAAGACACGGATGTGGCTTCTGGGCACCTCGGGCACGGACCGTTCCTTCGCCAGGTTGGTCGCGTCGGCGGCGGCGTAGATCACGGTCCCTGTGACGCCCTGGATCACGGACGACTGGCACATGTGAGGGGCGGCGTAGTACTCCTGCTTGGGCGGGGGCGGGATGGGCGGGATCGGGGGAGCCACGCCGCCGTCCCGCTGCGTGGAGCGCGCGGTGGGCAGCGTGGGGGGCGGGCGCGTGAGCGGCACGGGCGGCGGCGGCGAGTACACCTCGGAGAAGGGCGGCGGCGGCGTCATGTTGACGTCGGGCACGGCGTAGTCCACGGAGTCGTCGGTGTCGAGCGGCAGCGGGCACTTGAGCGGCGTCTCGGAGGCCGAGTGGCCCAGCGTGTGGTAGCCGGGGTTGTGCACGGGGCCCTTGAACGGCTCCTGGTACATGGCCGCCGCCTCCTCGTCCAGCGCCACCTGGCCGTACAGCTTGCCCTTGGCGCGCGAGTAGCCGTTGGTCATGGGCGTCAGGTTCACGTTGATGTGCAGGTCCTTCATCTTCATGGACACCTTGCGGGCGTCGACGCCGTTCTCGGACGCCGGCGGCGACTTCTTCTTGGTCTTGCGCGCCAGCCGCGTGCGGTAGTAGAGGACGCCGAGCGCGATGGGGATCATGACGAAGACGGCGCCCAGCACGACGAGGCCGACGAGCAGCAGCAGCGACGACGTGCTCTGGGCCGGCACGACGGGCGCGCGCGCCTTCACCGCGCCCTCGTCCTCGGCGCGCGGCGTGGTGGGCGGCGCCGGCGGCTCCTCGGGCGTCATGTTGCAGCGGCAGGGAACTGAGCGAAGAGAAGAGAGAAATGAGTCCCGAATGCGAGATGGCAGCAGAGAGAAAATGCAAAGGACAGCAAAAATAACTCCCTGACATGATAGTGAATGAAGACGTCAAAAAGACAAAAGAGGGAACTGCACTGACCCGAGTCGAAGGCGACCTCGGAGATCATGATCCAGCGCAGCGCGAAGAACAGCTGCAGCTTCACGAACTTGGCGGCGGAGTTGCGCAGGCGGATGGTGACGTTGCGCGCGTTCTCGAAGATGCGGTCCACCACGTACTCGTACTCGACGGCGCGCGCCGCGGGGAAGTGCTCGCCGCCCGCGCTGAACAGCACGCGCGCGCGCGAGAACACCTGGCCGAGAGGAGGAGAAAGGCGGTTAGGGGTGCCTGATAAAGGGGGAGGAGGAGGAAAGGCAAACGAGGGAAATATTCACAGCAGCCAGCACTGGGGGGGGGGGCTCACCTGCGTGTCCTTGGTGAAGAAGTTGTTGGTGTAGATGTGGACGGCCGAGAAGTTCCTGACGGAGTCGAACTCGAACGTGATCTCGACGGGCCGCGTCTGCCGCGTGTCGTTCTTCCAGCCGATCCACTCGTAGCCTGAATGGTAGAAAAATCAATATATTATATCTTTGTCTCGAAGCATAGACGTGATTTGTGCTTTACCATTCATTTATACTTGAAGCAATTAAACATCCTTAAATGCACGCCTTACCTCTGCCCCTGCCGAGGGCGTCGACGCGGAAGTTGGTGTGTCCGGTCTCGCCGTCGGTGAGCTGGCCGAGGCCGCCCGAGAGCCAGCCGTCCTTGCGCGCGCCGTCGTAGGTCAGGTCGCGCAGCGCGCCGTCGCCGCCGCGCGGGTCGCCGTCGGGCATCGAGTACGACAGCAGCCCGTCTGAGGGGGGAGGGGGAGGGGTCAGCTGATGGGCAGGTTCGCTTTCCATTTCTCTAAATGATCTAAACTCACAATGCCAATAGAACAAGAAGGGCTAAACCTTTGATTTCAGGAGAAAAAATATTTTAGTAAAATCTGAAGTCCTCCGGGCATACCTGTGTAAGGGCATCCGTAGACCTCGACGCGCATGCAGACGGTGCGCGGGTGGTCGCTGTACGGCACGAAGCGCACGCGCGCCGCGACGATGGGCGGCGTCAGCTGCGACGACTGCGCCAGGTACGTGTTGGTGTTGCCCTCCAGCAGCTGCAGAAAGGGGAGGAAGGGAAAAAATATGGTAAAGTAATCTATGATTCACTAAATAAAAGGAGAAATGTGAAAAAAAAAATGAAGCCCTTCTAATACAACATTTTCTCTGGCGAGTTTGTGCCCAGTGAATTCAGAAGAGTTAAACTATGCCATAAAGTTTTCCGTCAAAGTCACGCTGGCTTAGGCCTATCCAGTCGGCCCTCGTCAGAAAACGGATATCGATCGACAACTTTTTTAGGGAGATATATGAGGAACAGTTTTTAAAAGGTGAAGAAAGTATTTTCTTTCAATATTGAATAGTCTGGGAAGAGGTGGATGGAGAAGGAGGAGGAGGAGGAGGAGGAGGAAGAAGAAGAAGAAGAAGAAGAGAATGAGGAGGAGGTGGGGGGGAAGAAGACGAAAGTAGACGAAAATGAAGACACGAGACTAAGAAGTAGAAGAGATGAAGAAGAAGACGGGGAAGGAGAGCAGCGCCCACCTCGTTGCCGCGCCCGTCCGCGTAGGTGACCCAGTGGGCGAGTCCGGGCCGCCAGAACTGCAGCTTGTACTGGCGCGCGAACTCGCGCCCCTGGCCGTTGCCGAAGCGCCCCTGCACCTCCACCTTGGCCACCACGTGCAGGCCGCCCAGGTTCACCTCCAGGAACTCTTTGCCCTCGTTGTACACCATGTCCCGGGGGCACCACGCGCCGCCGCCCGCCTCCACGTGCGCCCTGTAGGAGAGAAAAGGAGGGTGAGGGGAGAGGATCTAAGGATCAGAAATGGAGAAATTCATATCTCATGTGTCTGTCTGTATCTCTGTATAACATTGTAAGTGATTGATATTCAACATGAAAACCCCATAGACAAGCTAACTAAGATAATTTCAAGTGTCCAACTATCATCTAGCATCAGTTTCCCCAACAAACGTAAACAAAGAAATGCGAAGCAAAGGGAAACAAATAAGTAAATAAACAAGCAAAAAAACAATAAACAATACGAACAAATATCAACAGACAAGCAAGCAAAAATAACGACATTTTCTCCGAATTCTTATGACTTGCGTGACGTCACAGGGAAATGCTAATCACGGCGTCATTAGGAACGGCCGTTTTCTTCGCATTTTTTGGAAAGTCGGACGTCAAGTGGCCATAGGCCTATTTGTGGTCAGGTGACACACACACGCAGGTACAGTATTTATATATGGACTAATATACATGCATATATATATATTATATATATATATATATATATATATATATATATATATATATATATATATATATATATATAATATATATATATATATATATATATATATATATATATATATATATATATATATATATATATATATATATATATATATATATATATATATATATATATATATATATATATATATATATATATATATATAATATATATATATATATATTAACTGAATATTCATTACGATTAAACGACACAACACACACACACACACACACACACACACACACACACACACACACACACACACACACCACACACACACACACACACACACACACACACACACACACACACACACACACACCACCACCACCACCACCACCACCACAACAACAACAACAACACAGACAAAAAAAAAGAAAAAAAAGAAACAGGTAGAATCTTAATCCTAAATCCAAGCGCTCTGCTTTCATTTTTTCCTCCGCGTTCAAAGTCGGCGCGGAAGGCTTATGGCTGGCTTAGAGCGAGCTTATTCCACGGTGGCCGCTGCCCCCCCCCCCCCTCCCTCCCCCTGCCGCTGTCTCGCCGCCGAATCGAGTTCCTTATCGTGTGACTGTGTTGAAAGCTGGGGGGAGGGGAGGGGTGGAAGGGGGGGGGGCGATTAAGGACACGCCTTCTTAAAGCACTTCAAAAACATTGGGCCGGTGGGGGTGGGGGGAATGGGATAGGTGGAAGAGGGGAGGAGGAAAGAGGGAGAGGTGGAAGAGGGGAAGGAGGAAAGAGGGGGAGATGGAAGGGAGGAAGAAGGAAAGAGGGGGTGGAAGGAGAGAAGGAGGAACGAGTGGAGAAAAGGGATTGGAAGGAAGGAGGGAAAAGGGAGGAAGGGGGTTGGGGGTAAGGGGTGGGGAGGTGGAAAAGATGTAACGGGTGGAGGGGAACAGTGGAGGTGGAGGGGGTGAAAAGAGGGAAGGTAAGGAGGAGAAAAAAGGGAAAGGACGGTGCGGAAAGGAGTAGTTCCATACACATATAAACAGGAACAGAAAAAGCACAGGTAAACAACAAACACAAGAAAGCAACAAACACAGATAAACAACATAGGTAAACAACAAGCACAGGTAAACAAAAATCAATATCACAAACACAACAATCACCTCAAACAAAAGTCAACGCACAAAATCTCCCACAGACATCCTTTCCCAGTCTCTATTTTTGCATTTCTGTTTTTTTCTCTTATTTTTTCTGATTCCGTTTTTTCCCAAAGGCGTGACTGAGGCGTCTTGAAAGGAGGTGGAGGAGAATAAGGATGACTTGGTGAACTTAATGAGAAAATAATGAGTGTCGTTGTTACTTTGCTTGTGTAGGAGGGATGGTGCCAGGGCTGCTCTATCTCCGTGTACCTCTTTGTATCTCTCTGTCTCTCTTTCTCTTTTTCTTTGTCTTTGTCCTCCTTCCCCTTCCCCTACCTCTTCCCACTCTCCCTATCCCTCTCCCTCTTCTTCTCCTTCTCCCTCTTCCTCTTCTTCTCTTCCTTCCTCTCCCTCTCTCTCTCTTTCTTCCTCTCCTCTCTCTCTCTTTCTTCCTCTTCTCTCTCTCTCTCTCGGTTCTCTCTCTCTCATCAATCTCTCTCTCTCTCTCTCTCTCTCTCTCTCTCTCTCTCTCTCTCATCAAATAGATACAATTCCAAAGAAAGTTGATTAGAAAACATTCCGACGAAAAGACAAAAAGTGACACATCCCTTCCAGCAAAAATGATAACCGCATTACCATAATTATGCACATTAGACGCTAACGAACAATGTCCCGAGATATATAACGAAACTAGTCGAGCCGCGGACGTCCTTTGAAGCCGCCATTACGTTAGGAAGCGCGCTCGTTATACGCCAAGTTCGACAAATGGTAAAATAACGACACCTTTTTTTTTCTTGTGTTTTTATCTTTCCGTCTGTGCGTTTATGTAGGCTGTCGGTGGGAGAGGGGGGAGGAGGGGATGAGAGAGAGAGAGAGAGAGAGAGAGAGAGAGAGAGAGAGAGAGAGAGAGAGAGAGAGAGAGAGAGAGAGAGAGAGAGAGAGAGAGAGAGAGAGAGAGAGAGAGAGAGAGAGAGAGAGAAGAGAGAGAAGAGAGAGGGAGAGAGAAAAGTTGTTGGAGGGAAGAGAAAGGTGGTTGGGCGGGCGGAAGGAGGGGAGGGGAGGGACAGGGAGGAAAGGCAGGGAGACTGCGATTAGAAAACACGTGTAATATATTTATCTACGAGGAAATATTCCTCGCCCTGTGTGTTGGAGCGTATGATTGGGTTTTGGGATACATGCTAAATTTAGAAAGGGAAGGGGGAGGGAGAGGGCAGGAGGGAGGGGAGGAAGGGGGTTGGGTTGGGTGAAGCGGGGTGGGTGGGAAGGCGGAGGAGGGGAGATAAGGGAGAGAGGAAGGATAGGTAGTGGGAGAGGGGGGGAGGGAGATATATAATGGCTGTTATAGAAGTTCAATGGTATTTTGAAGCGGCCGAGATTTGTTCAGCAGATATACTGGATAGAACTTTGTGCTTTGGGGAACTTGGGATTTGGTTTGTGAGCGTGTTTGTGCACGTGTTTGTTTGTTTGTTTGTTTGTTAGTGTGTGAGCGTGTGGGAGAGGAGGGAATGAAGGAGAAAGAGGGAGAAGAGAGAGAGAGAGAGAGAGAGAGAGAGAGAGAGAGAGAGAGAGAGAGAGAGAGAGAGAGAGAGAGAGAAGAGAGAGAGAGAGAGAGAGAGAGAGAGACCAGAGAAAGAGAAAACAGAGAATTGACGTGAAAAAAGAGAAAAGAGCGACAAGACAGATGCAGACCGCCAGACAGATAGCCAAACTGACAGCCAGCCGGACGGACAGACAATCAGACCAACAGACCCACACAGAATACCGAATTTGTCCTCCCCCCCCCCTCCCGCCCGCGCAAGTGAAACCATTCTAGCTCATCAGGGTAGCTTCACACTGACAGCTTGAGGTCTCCGTGCTGTCAGTTCGGCATCAGTCAGCACCGAACAATTCTCGTCTATGGCAAAGAAAAAACGGGTTTCGATCTTATCTCTTAATTAACTCACGGCTAGACGTCACCTCCGCCCAGCTTTATAAGTTCCAGAATTCGAGGTGAAGTGGCGAAACGCAAGATGGCGTCGAGAGACAAAAACGCATCGCTGATCTCCTTTGGCAAAGGAATCGAGACACGTTCAGAGAGGGTCTTTGGCAACAACGATCCTTATAAAGAGCGGATCTACCGAAGAAATATGCATGAATATATATTGAAAAATGGGAGAGAAAATAATAATCGAAAGATCCAAAAAAATAACATCAACTGATATCCTTTTAGGAAATGAGATAGAAACCCGTTTAGAAGGATTTCCACCACCGATCCTTATACAGAACCGATTTACCCAAGAACTACGTATGAACCAACGCAACAAAAATAACAATGAACACAACAACGAAAAAAATATGAGATACAAAAACTAATCGACCGAATCTGCCAACTACATAATCAATCCCGAACAAACGGCTCTTAAAACGCCCTCAAAGCTGACGCCCGAAGATGCTCCTTGACGCGTATAATGGCGGTCAATTTGCACGCAGGTCGCCCCCGGCGGCGGCGGATCGCTCTGTCCATCGGCGGAGGAGGTCGACGCCGGACGACGAGGGAGCGGATACCTGAGGGAGGGGGAGGAGGGAGGGGTGGAGGGGGAGGGGCGGTGGTGGGGGTGAGGGTGGTGGAAAGGGGGGATGGTTGTGGGGGAAGGGAAAAGGGAGGAGGAGGAATAGGTGATGGGGAGCCGTGCGATGACGAAAAGGTCGAACAAAACGGGAAAATATAAGGAAGGCGAGACAAACCACACACACAAAAATGCAATAAACAACAACAGCAACAACAACTAAATACTACCCAAAAACAGAGACGCGGCGGAAACTACAGAACACTGCAGATAACAACAACAAACAAAATCATTAAATCGTAGGAGTAGCCCTTACCTCCCATAGATGGCGTTGACGGCGGCGTCGAGTAGAGGAGACGCCGAGATGTGTTCGTCGGGGATGGCGCCAGACTCCATTCCGAGGGCGGCGTCGCAGCGACCTGTGCGGGGGGAGAGAAGGGGCGTCAGGATCTGTGATTTGATCTTCGTTCTGACTATTTTTTGGTTTGTTAACATTAGAGTAATAGTACTGGTGATGGAGTGATTTTGTGGGAGGTTAGGCGATGGGAGAGGTTGAGGCAGTGAGTGAAAGAGTGAATGGTTGCCTGACTGAAAGAGACAGACAAACTTTCACTGACAGCTTGACAGTGTGTGTGTGTGTGTGTATG